GCTCTGTCTCTGGGAGGGTCTCGGTGGGGTACGGCCACCCTTCCCGGGGCTCGGGGCACCCCTGGGTCAGCGTGGCCCCGGCCGGGGGTCCAGGACACTCACAGGAGTGCAGACACTCCACGATGGTGGTGGCGTCTATGAAGTAGCCGCCGCACAAAGCGCACATCAGGTGGGGGTTGAGCTCGGTGATCTTTATCCTGGTGGTCCTGTGCATTTTGGAGCAGCGCCGCAGCGGATCCTCCCTGCAGGGAAACCCCCGGGGCCACCCTTAACGGCCACGACCTGCAGGACCCACTTCACCCTTTAACAAACGGCAGAGTGGGGGTGCCTGGTGGTCCCCCCGACATGCCACGCTTGGCCCCAGGAGTGCCGGGACCCACACCCCGCCATCCCTGGGGGTGCGCAAGCAGCACCCACACCACCCCCCCATGCAGTCCCCAGCCCCGGGCACTGCCCCGCTCCCTCTGCTTCACATTTGCATCTTTCTGGGGGTCCCCGAGTGGGTCCCCACCATTCCGAGACGCCTTTGAGTGGGGACAAATCACCCCTATTAGCCAACCCCTTGCCTGCAGCTCCCCGGGCTGTGCACACACATACACGCGCACACACGCACACACACGCAAAGTGTATTTTTGTTTTGTTCGATGGAAAAGGCATTTTCAGCCACCGTCTCGTGGTTTCTATAGAACCTCCCGAGTCCGGCGTTGGCCACCCGCCCGCGGCCAGGAGCACCCGCAGCACCTGCGCGTGTGGGTGTGCACGGCCGGGTGTGCCCACGGGGCACGGGCAGCATCCCCCGGCGCGGGATGCAGACGCGGGGGAATCGCTGCCTGCCCGCTCCGGCAATTCCACGTTTACAATGGGAGACGGCGGCGGAGCCAGGGCCCGAAATCGCTGCAGTTTTATTGTTTCCATGGCAACCCCGATACTTGGAGAGGAGCCAGAATATTATTACAACCATCCGAGGCGAGGGGGAGAAGGGAGAAGAAACCCTGGGTTTGTGTAAATGAGCGTGGGCGCGATGGCAGCGCGAGGGTGCGCTGACAGCAACACCCGTACGCACCCACACCCCCACACCGGGAGACACACACACGTGTGTATACACACATACTACGTGTACACACACGTATCCCCCACATGCACACAGGCAGAGGTACACACATACACCCGCACCCCTGTGGCACAGGCGCTCGCACGGGGCCAGGCGTGGAACGGTGTCACCGTCCGCCTGACACAGGGCCAGACCCTTCGCAGACACCCGACAACTGACAACTGGACAACAGCCACCGAAGGCACCACCGGCTGCGGTGTGGGCACCATGACCGGGCGAGGAACAGGGTGAACCCCAGGCCCAGGGAGCAAACGGGGTGCACGTGCGTGTGCGTGCACAGGGGTGTGTGTGCAAGGCTGTGTTTTTTTGGGGGGTGTGTGCAGGGGTGTGCGCTCAGGGCTGCGCATGGAGTGGTGCGCGCAGGTGTGTTTGTACAACACCGGGTCCGTGTTGTCCTGCTCCATCCCTGCCGTGCTGCTCCCAGGGTTCCAGTCTGGGTCTCTCATCTCGCTCGGCTGCCGTGGAGTCCCCGGAGGCAGGTGTGCAGGGATGGGGACACCATGGGGACAGGGATGGAGATGTCACAGGCATGGGGATGGAGATGCTGCAGGGATGGGGACACCACGGGGACGGGGATGGAGATGCCACAGGGACGGGGATGGAGACGCTGCAGGGATGGGGACACCATGGGGATGGGGATGGAGATGCCACAGGGACGGGGATGGAGACACTGCAGGGATGGGGACACCATGGGGATGGGGATGGAGATGCCACAGGGACGGGGATGGAGACGCTGCAGGGACGGAGATGGAGACGCTGCAGGGATGGGGACAGAGACGCTGCAGGGATGGGGACACCATGGGGATGGGGATGGAGATGCCACAGGGACGGGGATGGAGACGCTGCAGGGACGGAGATGGAGACGCTGCAGGGATGGGGACACCATGGGGATGGGGATGGAGATGCCACAGGGACGGGGATGGAGACACTGCAGGGATGGGGACACCATGGGGATGGGGATGGAGATGCCACAGGGACGGGGATGGAGACGCTGCAGGGA